ACAATTTTTTGCAAAGCATCTTTATTTGACATAAGCATGAACATAAAAATGTTTCCATATCTAGAAGTTAGCTATTTCTAACACCAAAAAATGGCTTCGCTGCTCGTGGTTAGAACAAAGTTTTTTGTACTTTTAATTTTGTAGCTTACTTTGTAAATTAAGATTGCATTTGTCTCTGACCAAGCTAGCAAGATTGGTTGGTTTTAATAATAATTTATTATCAATAAAATAAAAAAGTCATGAAACTTTTGTCACTCTGGATGTCATTTGGATTTGCCGTGGTGTAGTGATTAGAGTTCTGGCATAGAGATTGTGAAGCCGTGGTTAGAATTCTGGCTACAAAACATAATGTTTGTTGTTTGAAGCCGGCTCTGGCCATAAATTGCAGCCGTGGTACAGTGGTAGAGCACTTACCCCAGAAACGTAAAATCCGTTTAAACCCCACCTCTGGGCAAGTTTTGCGACATCGGTTAGGAAGGAGGCGTGAACTTTCTATTAAATGCTCTTCAGCGGTGCTAAGTCCGTACGGACTTCTTAGAGCACCTAAAAAAATGGGAAAGAAAGAGGCGTGAACTTTCTTGTTAAATGCTATTCCCCGGTGTTCTGTGATAAGAACTTTAGAACTTTTTTGAGCATCTAAACTTTAGGACTTTTTGGAGCATCTAAATTTATCATAATAAACATTAGCAGAAGCGTCTTTAAATACGAACAAAACGTATAATAAAGCAATAACAGAGTTTTGTTAACTTTTATAATTTAATTTACACAGGTAAGAATTTTATCGTAAAAAATAAGTTTCGACATTCCGAATAGATTTACACGAAGCCAAAAAAAACTCAAAATCACAAAATTTAGCTGGAATTCTGCTATATCTCTAAATAAGTACTTATCTTGAGAAGATGTTAACTGTAACTCTTTCTGTCGTTTCCTAAAAAGGAAACAGCTATAAAACGCAATTTTAGTGGTTTTGAGGCCGGCTGATAGTAAGATTTTGCATTGTCAAGGCCACATAGGTAGTTCTTTGATACAATTTTTGAGTTAATTAGCGAGACTAATGTAACTGCATAGCTCATTCCTTAGGGTGTCATGCAATATCTTTGATTGATTCAAGTTTTCTAATATCGTAAAAAATGATTGAAGTACCTAAAAACATTAAACACCACCATCACCTAATAGTTTCAATCGAAGAACACTCGTGGTCTTCGAAGTAACTTTTCATCAGTTGAATCTCACCTATTGCAAAATTAAACAGACTTGCTGATTCTTAGTAACGCTAATTTAAATTTGCCTGTTCCTTCTCCAGAACTCATTATAGGAGGCTACTATGATTTGATCGGCAAAAGCTCTAAAAGTCACATGTTTGGTTTGGGTGTATAACTACCCCAGGGTGGCCAGGCAATTTTTGATTTCATTTTCCCTGACTTTTCCCTGACTACAATGAAATTTCCCTAACTTACCGATATAAACTTAACAAATGTAGCAATAAAAAGGCAACAAATAAAACACACACAACTTTACACAAATAATCGAAGTTTTCTTGAAAACTTTTTATTTTATATACATAAACACTTTGAAACAACAACAAAAAAAAAAAAATAATAAAATAAAGTATGAAGTTAAAAAATGAAGCTGAAAATTCATGTCTACACAAATGTTACTATGTTGTAACCAAGAATGAGCGAGACTAATTATCGTATATGGACGATGACAAACGGCTTATTTCAGCATTAATAGCAACCGATTCCCTTTCAGCATCCTTTTCTAATCTGGCTTTTTTGGCCTTTAACTCTTTTATTAATTGTATGGCACACCGCTTTTCACACAGTTCCTTTTGATGTTCTTCTTTATTTTTTCTCCTGTCAGACAGAGCTTGTTGGTATCGCTCATATGATAAACGAACACATTTCAACATTTTTGGTGTGACTTGTACATTGCACAGCCCACCAACATTAAGGATTGCATCATAAACTTGTCGTTGGGCAACTACAGATTCAAGATTTTCTACTAAAACATTTTAGTTAATACTAAAATCTTGCTCTACTTGTGCATTGCCATGAGATAAAATCATTACAATTTTTACTATTTCAAACAACGCTGAGTATTGCATATCTTCTCCAATTAGTTCATAGTAAAAGTCATTTAAACGTTGCTTAGAGAAATCAAAATTTTCAAAAATTTCCATTTTTAATGATGTCAAATTGCATAGGCGAGAATACTGACTTATAGCTTGATCAGCTAGGACTGATTTTATTAGCCCAGATTCATGCAGAAATGATGCTAGAGAATCAAAACGTATCTTCGCTTTGTCAGGTGACCTGATGATAACCTTTGGTGAAAACGATGATAAATGCCTAGTAGCCTTGTATTTAAGTAGAAAACGCTCTTTTAATTTAGTGACTACAGCAATTAAAAAGCCAATGCATTCTTCTCGAAATTTAATTTTTTGACTACTAACAGTTTTACAATTCTGTAACTCAAAAACAGCTCCAACACCAATTACCACGTCTCTCCAATTGCACTTTTCATTCTGCAGATCTATCTTCCACAACTTTTGTAATGAATCAGCTTTTGTGAAAACATCTTTTTTAATAAATCTCTCCATGAGGCATGACATCAGATGATATAACCCATCATATAGGAAAGGAACTAAAGGATTTGGTGACTCAAATTGCATAAGAAATGGTTCTACTACATTGGCAACAGACAAAAAAAAACTGATTTTAGCTTTGATTAGAGGATCTGTGATAACATTCAATAACATTCTGTGCAGTAATAGTCAACGGTAATTTTGACCTTTCTACGTAAGTTTTTACATTGTTAAAAATTTCAAGAGCTCTCTCTGCAACTGCAGCATTCTCCATCCACCGCGTCGTACAAAATTTTAAAGGAAATTTTGCTTTACCACTGTTTATTGCTAAATAGTCTGCTCTGCGAGCAGAACAATCTTTAAAAAGTCTATATAAGGAACTTAATGCTGAATTAACTTTCCAACCAGCTTCTTTGTGCTCCTTCTGAAATGCCCCATGAACTACATGAACTACATGAACTACATGAACTACATGAACTACATGGACTACATGAACTACATGAACTACATGAACTACATGAACTACATGAACTACATGGACTACATGGACTACATGAACTACATGAACTACATGAACTACATGAACTACATGAACTACATGAACTACATGAACTACATGGAGGCCATGTTAATTAACCATGAACTACATGGAGGCCATGTTAATTAACTGGATATCAATCCGATGTTGATTAACTGAATATCAAATTTTGCTGAATGACTTTCTTCTAGAGCATCAAAAAACTTCCAGTTCACACTGGGTCCATCCATAGAAACTTGAATTAATTTTGGCAATAATATGTCCCCAATCACTGTATTAAAGCTGTCTTTTAGTTTATTAGCAGTTGCATGCCCTAAAAAAGCAGATGAAAAGTAACGAGTAATAACTTTATGTTTCTTTATATCCCAAAAGCGCACACATATATCCATTTGGCTTTGTTGTATTACTCCGTTAAGTGCCTCGTCAAACATTATGCACAAAAAATTTAAAATATTTTGCAGAAGAACATCATGGAAATAGGGAGCAATACCATGAGTTATGATATTGGCAATCTTTGTCTTTCCAAGCTTGAACTGCTTAGCTATTTCACTGTCAGGAAATATTTGTTTAAATGTTTTTCCTATATTAATAGAGGACCTATAAGATTCATGGTGAGATACAACTCGTAAAGCCCAGTTAATTTCTGCTTTTGTGACTTCATCTTGTATAGCATAGCTATCAACTGTTTTCTGAATGCTTGCAGAACTTACATCACTCAAAGCACATGAACTGTTTTGGAATAATACTCTTTTTATTTGATTTGTATCTTTTACAATACTGTTTGAAGCTAATTCTTGGATTTGATGTTTACTAAATAAAGAATAGATTGGCAACTGGTTCTTATACAAACTAACACTATTGGCATGCTTTTTACTTCTTTCATGACTTTCTACTGCCTGAATGCCCATGTTACTTAAATCAAATGTTTTTCGACAAATAGAACGCATTGCCTGTGCAGGACTGTTAGAAACTTCTTTTAGCCAAAACCAATCAGCGTAAAGCGTTTTATTTAACCAATCTTTGCTGAAGTAACATTGTTTTGACATTTTTTAAATATATTTTCTAAACACAAGATGTAAGCACATTTATATAAGTACAACACAAACTTCTAACTTTTTTTAATATTTTGGAATTAAAAGTATGAATATTAACTTAAAACAAACACTATGTATATTTATAAAATTTGACTATTTGCTATAACAAAAAATACTACAGTGATAGATTAGAAGTAATTTTCTCACTAATAACACAATATGACAATATAAAAATTTTGTTTTCTTTCACACATTTAGTCATTTAGCCCTTTTGAAATAAGTGAAAAAAGGGACTGCAACAAATTGCTTTCCTGTTTGATCTTTACATAATATTGACAAAATATTTTTGAAAAGTAAGAACCAAAATGTGAAAAAGAAGAATAATAAAGTTATACAAAATAATTATATAGCATATAAAATGTAAGATTTTTAGTTTCTAATACGCAATAATATATAAATATTTTGTTACTGAATCCACCAAAATTCCCTGATTTTTGGAAAATTTAGAATTTCCCTGACTTTTCCAGGTTTTCCAAGTTGCTGGCCACCTTGTACCCATCCACTCACCTATGTCGAGAAAACAACTTGCGCTTTGAGAGACTAATTTAAATTTAGCTGTTTCATTTTCGGCTCTCAGTATTGATGGCAACTTTCTTTGTTTCGCGAAGACTTGGCCTTAAACATATACTTACGCATCAGTTCACAAACTGTTTGGCCTGGGCATATACTTACGCATCAATTCACCTATTTGTCGTCAAATCAAGTTTGAATCATCTGAACATTAAATGAAATGTCAAAATTTGTTATCAGATCAAAAAGAACATAAAAAAACAATAAAAAGTAAATCATTAAATATTAAATGATATCAAAAATGATGTAAAATGTTTATGTACAAAAACGAGGTGCGTTAACTGCAAAAAAACAAATTTTATGTACAGTTATTATCTACAAAACTAACTAACAATACAAGAATATACAATAGAAAAATTTAGAAACTAAGACTAGTCCATAGGAAACGCATTCTCGATTTGATTTGTGACTTGTTGGATGTCCATAGCATTAGTTAAAGAGTAACCATTTGTAAAGCTATAATCACGACGTCCAAGTTCGGGTGATCCATGATACGAAGAAGACGGAGTAAGCGTCGGAGTTACTCCAGCAGAAGATTGCACGCTTCGATCTGATTGAGGCTAAATATATTAAAATATTAGATATAGAAAAATTCAAAACTACACTAATTTAAGTAGTAACCATTTTTTTAAAATACCTGGTCCAACAGTTGCCTAAGCCGCTGTAATTGTGCTTCGAGTTGTTTGTTATGATGTTCCAATATTTGCATGCGAGCTTCAAGCCGAACTTTATGCTGACGGAGAAGTTGGGCTTCTGCAATTAATTCTGAATCGCTCGAACTTCGAGGATTGGATCCATTTGCACGCATATTTTTCAAACGATTATATTCAGACTCCAATGCTCTAAAAACAAAAAAAAGATTTTACTTTTGTGAATGTCTATGTCATCATTGTTGAAAACTAAATCACAACTCAAATTAAAAATGAAGAGAAATTAATTCTTTTACCTATGTTCTTCTTCAAGATCCGAAATAATGTCATTTACACTCTGAGCAATGTCAATCTTTTCTTCGATATCTAATGATGCTAAGATAGCCGACGGACTTTTTAACTGTAAATAAAAAATAATAAAAAAAATTAACATTTTTAAACGTACTTTGAGATAATCGGTTACTATAGGCTTATATTCAAATAGAAAAATAAATTTAAACAAGTTAACTTTTGTCCTGGAAAGAAACATAAAACGAAAACGGGTGAAAACGTAAAACGTAAAACGAAAGAAACGGGTGCAAGTAAAGAGTAATAAGTGATAATTTTGAATTTCTAAAATTATTTCGAATTTATGTTAATCTTCTTGTCTTAGACAGCAAATATTTATTTTTTTATTCTGGTTAAAAATTTGTTAATCCAGTTAAAAATTGTAATAAAAATTAAATGAATTTTAACATTTTAGTTTTTAAGTAAATTTTTTTTTAAAACTTTAGCTCAGCCAATAATACTCCGCCCCCCTCCTCCTCAATGGATTTGCACCACATCTTAAGTAAAATAATAATGCATACGGGGTGCCATATCCAATTTAAAGACTTTTTAAAAAGGTGTTGAATAAAAATACACAGCATTTACACATATAAAACTAATTCAATAACTTTCGTCAATTTAAAATACATTTTCACAAATTTGACTTGTTTGCTCAGTCAATTGTTTGCTTAGTCAAGTGAAAATACTTGTACTTTAACATCTTGGAGTTTGCTTCTTTATGGCCTGAATTGCATATGGTATACAGCAAAATAAGACAAACTGCAAAACTGCCATTATCTGCATTATTACTGGATAACAGAGAGATTATAAAACTTCTATGATTTCCTTTTATACTAAGCTGGATATATAGAGAAACAATTTCTTTTACCCTTTGGGGTTGATCCCTTAAGATTTTAAATCAAATAACAATGTAATAGGGTGCGCCATCAAGATAGGGCGCATCGTTTTGCATCATCAAAGTAGGGTGCACCATCTTGCACCATCAAAGTAGGGTGCACCATCTTGCACCATCTAAGTCGGAATCGCCGTCGTGTGCCATCAAGCTGTTACTGTGTCAAAAAGGTTTGAAATACAACTACGATCAGAACTTGACAAGTTTCTTCATAAAGAATATTCCCGTAGCAGTAGAAAAAGCATAACTTAATCACAATTGAAATTCTCTAATATTAAATATGATCTTAACAGCTTTACTAAGTTTGTTTTTTGTCAGTTGACAATAAAACAATTATGTTAAACTCTTTGAAATATTAATCAAATGAATATTCTAGAAATGTTGTTGGTAATTTTCATTTATGTGTAATAATTTTTAATATTATAATTTATTATTTGAAATATTGTTTATTTAGACAACAATCAATAATAAAAATCAAAACTTAGCTAATGTTCTGTATTATTAATAATATTATAAAATATACAATCTTTATTACAAATAATATTCTAAATAATTTTATGGATAAAATCAAAATACAATGCCTGAAGTAAAATGCTTGACGACCCATTACTAAAAAAGATGGAGAGGGTGGAGTTTAAAGTCGCAGCAAAGGTGGAGTTTAAAGTTGTAAATTAAGGAATTAACTGTTTTTTATAAAATATCTTGATAAAAAAAGAATTTTTTAGATGTTTAAATTTATTCTGTAAATTTAATAAGCAGAAAATAAATTGTTTTGACCTTATTTAACTCTATTGTGTGGATATCTGCAAATATAAAAATAAAAATAATAAAAGATAACTGAAATAAAGAAGATATCTATCTTTAGATTAAAAACTTACAGGAAGAAGTCTAGAATCTTCACTACTCAGACTTCGACACATGTGTTGGATTAAACGATGTTCTTCATTACTAAATTAACAAAACATAAAATTTAAACGATGTTCTTCATTACTAAATTAACAAAACATAAAATTTAAACGATGTTCTTCAGTACTAAATTAACAAAACATAAAATTTAAAGATTAAAATATTGTTAACCAATAGATTTGCAATAAAATATCTAAATACTTACATATCATCAACCATTCTATAGTTCTCTGACTCTGGTGAACTTGATCTGTCATTGCTACAGGAAATAAAATATAATTATCAAATAAAATCCCTAAATTTGATAAACACACACACTAACACCCTCAAAGTGCATCACACTTTGAAATCCTATTAACTTGTTAAAAATATTTACTTTATAACAATAGAATGTTGATAAAAAAATGCAATAAAAATATTAAAGTAATCTCTTCTAATAAATTCAAAAATGACACAATTACCTAAGACCTTTTAAAAACTGAACTAAGGGTTTTAGTTTAAAACTCACACACACAACGCACACTTCACAGGCTGTGAACTAGTCAACTAGTTTAATGTGTCAACTTTGTCAACTTTAGTTTAATAAATCAAAAAATGATATTATTAAACCCTTTAGTGCCACAAATTTCACTAAAGTTTCTCTAGAGATCACAACACAAGTAAACCGAGTCAAGAAATATTTTCAATTTTAAACTGATGCCTTTATCACAGATCGTAACAGGTTTTTCTAACCGCACTTTTTATAATCTAGTCAAAATTGTGTCAACAAAAGAGCATAACCATCATGCTATTATTAAACCAATATCTCAACAGATGTTTTCAACTTTGTTGAGTCATGGTTATATGTCAATTTGTGAACAAAATAATGGCTTTAAAATAATGTAAAAAATAATTTTAAAGTTTAAAAAATAACTTGTAAAATAAACTACTTCTATTTAGCTTTAAAACGAAAAGTACCTTAAATATGAAAACTTGATATTGGGACTTGAAGGTACTGATGGTCTATAAAACAAAACATTTGTTAAACCTTTTGATAAATTTATTATGAAAAGAATATCATTAAAAAGAGCAGTACATACGTTTCAATACTGCTGCCCTCCATAATAGTTTGAACAGGTAAATAACCAAGCTTTTTAGGAGGTCGACTCCTATATCTTCGGGATTTGAACTTGTTTTTCATCAGTTTAACGAAATCACTCATATCTTCACCAGCTGTTGTCTATTAGAAATAAAACTATAATTTTACCAAACCAATTAAACTATTAAAATTAAAAATTACAATTAAAATCAATAAAGTTGACCTAACTAACTACTACAGCAACAAAAGAGAAAAAAGAAGATAATAATAATAAAAAAAGTACCACCACCTACCGCTAAACTGTACTGATGCATAGGGTGAGTAAGCCGATGACTCTTTGACACACGCCCAGACCAAAAGCAATTCTTAATTTGAAAGCAAAATCATAAAGCTAAGCAATATTTTGCATGAACTTTAATGAAACAATTTTTTCAATGATTTTTTTTTTGTCATGGTATTTATTTAACGGATGGCATTTCTAATTTTGTGTGTATATTTTTTAATACTTTTATTAGTTTTTAGAAATATCATTTTAAGTCAATTTAACAAACTATTAACAATAACAATTCAAATTATTTATTAAAATAAAAAATTTACTAATATTTTTTTATAAAAATGTTAGCAATATACCTGACAAAGATCATAATTAAAACATTTTAAACAACGATATCTAAACCCAACAATAGGAAAGTCTTTGCAAATACCACATTTTGCATCGTGTTTTGCAGTTTCTGCTGCTGCAAGTCTATGTAAAACTGTCATCCACACTAGTGACTGAGGTTCTGCTGAAGTCCATTCTAAGAAGTTATTGACTTCAATGACTGTTGGATTTTTAGCCTAAAAAAATAAGATTTAACAAAAGTTTTTTTTTCTTCTTCCATAACTTAAGTTATTGTAAGAGCTGTCATTTAAAGAATTTCTTTTTAAATTATTTAAACACTTGATAATACTAAACTAAAAAAAAATGCATTATGGGTAAACTTACAACAAAATTGATAAAATGTCTAGTTACCTTTTCAAAACAACTTCTTGCACTTGGCTCTATATTGCTTCCACCAAAAGCAGCAATTTCACCGAGTTGTCGTGGAATCTAAAATACAAAATTCTGTCTTGTTCCATTTTACAAGAAAAAACAAAAAGCAAAACGTTATTAGAAGTTTTTAAAATCGTTTTTTGAAAAATCATTGGTATGTATTGCCAACCTAAGAGTAAATAGTGTGAATTATCAACTTAAGTTTAGGCACACCATTTGACCACAGAATCTATTATTAAGCAATTTATTACCATACTCTTACTCTACTTTAAATCAAAACAAAAATTATTTGATTTAGACATTTTTTTATTTTTATGTTTTGATTTGTTTAATTTGATGCACAAATCATAAAGGTTATATAGCTTCATATTTTTTTATTGTATTTTTTATTATATGATATTGCATAATTTATATTAAAAAGATACTATTAAAAGATATTACATAATTTATACTAAAAAGCAGTAAAAAAGGGGAAAAAAAATTATAAAAGGATCAAGTTGTAGTGGTTTTAAGATCAATAACTGATGAAAATCAAAATAAATATTCAAAAAATTGAAACCTGAACACAGTCATGTAACAGAAGCCCTAACTTTTTAGAATCTGCATGGCCTGAAGAATCAGCTATTTGTTCAAATAAATCTAGATAAAAAAATAAATTTTAGTCAAAAATAAATTTAAAAAATTTTAACAAATAAGAAGAATTTAACACAAAAAAAATCTTACATTTCCATTTGTTTTCTAGTTTAGCTCGACATAACAAGACAATGGCAATCTTGAATGATAAAACGCGAAGCTTTCCAATACGTCCACTAATAAAAATGTCATAAAATAAATTTATTAAATAATTAAACAAATTAAATTAAGCTTAATTAACTGTTTCTCCTATTATAGGTTCATCAGGATTTAAAAGAAAAACAATGAAAAATATCGTGGTGGGATTTGAACCATGACCATTCCATGTCTGAAGTAAATGCCTGATCCAAATAAGCTAAATGTGAGTGTACTGATGAACAAATAAATGTAATTATATAATTAAAAAATTTATGTAGAAAGTAAAGCCGATTTTGTAGATACCATACATGAACATGAGTGTATATAAACATGAAGGATACAAAAATATTCAATTACGGCAGTAAACGCCTGAGGGAAGAAATGAAGTACATTAGAATAAAGAAGAATGATTTATAAGACAAAGCATATTTTGACAGTTGTCAAGACAAAAATAAAGATTGAAAGAGGAATATTTAAAAATAAAAAAGACAGGCTATACACCCAAAACAGTACTCAACAATAATAACAATAACAAAAAAACAAAGATAAACATGTATTACATAGATGTATTCTTATTTTTTTTATTTTTATATTTTTATCATCTTTGCTTCAAACAAGGCTGCAAGCAACCACTAATTAGTGTTGGAAGTTACTGGAAGAGAAAAGATGAAGATTGTAGAGCAAGATAACTATTGACAGACGACTTAAAAGATTGCAAATTATATGAATCAGGTACGCAAGATGAAGGAAGCTAATTCCAAACAACTGATGTTCGAGAGAAAAAACTAGACAAATAAGAGTTTTTGAAGCACTTAGGAACAGTAACAGAAAAAGGATGAGACTTAATTGAATGACGAGTAATACAACAATGAATTTTAGTAAATGGCACAAGAGACGCTAACTCTTTAGAGCAGTGCCCATTATAGCATTCGTAGAAAAGAGAAAGAGAAGCAACATTACGACGATGTGACAAAGGTTGAAGGTTGGCTGCAAGAGCAGGTCCAACTATGTTTACAATGCGTTTTTGCAACTTGTCTGAAAGAGAAAGGGCATCATTAGAAGATCCGCCCCAGATATGGCAACAGTATTCCATACAAAGTCGGATTTGAGATTTATAGAGAGAGTTAGAAAGTGTTAAGCTCGATAAAGAGATGCAACCTTAGCAGATGCTAATTTTGCAACGGATTTGATATAAGGTTTCCAAGAAAGATCAGAAGAGTTAATCCTAGAAGATAAAGGGTAGATGACTCATCAAGTACATTACCGTTTATAAATATAGGAAGGTCTAAATTATTGCAAAAATGATTGGCTGAAAAAAATTGAGTTTTATGTGAATTAAAGTTCACCAGCCACTGTGAGCCCCATGCTGTAGCAGAAGTGAGATCCTTTTCAAGCTCAAATGCCCCCTGCAAGCAATCAGAGGGAGTTGGCTTCTTATCGTGACAAGAATAAATAATAGTATGATCAGCAAACAATGCCACCTTGTGATGTGAGAATATCTGGAAGATTGTTAATGTAAATTAAAAAGAGTATAGGGCCATTGATTGAACCCCTGAGGTTACAGAATAAGAAGAAGAGTGTTGTCCATCAAGGACAACTTTTATACTACAATTGGAAAGGAAGGATTCAATAATCATAAAGATGTTTCCAGATACACCGTAAGAAGAAAGCTTATGGAGAAGACCAGCATGCCAAACTTTATCAAACGCTTTAGAAATGTCAAGAGCAATGGCCTTAACCTCTCCACCTTGATCTAATGCGCAATAAAATCTATCGGTTATTACTGATAGCAAATTAGCCGTAGAACGAGAAAATCAAAATCCATATTGATGATCAGAAAGTAATTTATGAGATTCAAGATGAGTGATTAAGTGTTTGTTAATTAAAGATTCAAAAACCTTGCTTTTGATAGGAAGAAGACTAATGGGACAGTAGTTAAACGAATCAGATTGCTCTCCGGAATTTTAAAAATAGGGATAACAGATGCTGCTTTCCAGCAGGCTGGAAAACAAGACTCTTATAAGCACTTGTTGAATAATTTTGAAAATATAGACGATAGCTCCAGAGAACACTTCTGCAAGAATATAACAGGTATGTTGTCTGGGCAGCAAGCTGTAGAACAGTCTAAGCAGGAGATCACTTTAGATACAGATGCTGGAGTGATATGGATGTTGAGCAATGAATAAACCTGTTTGACGGCTATATTAGGTAGAACACAACTAGTGGAATCAAGAGATGATATTGATGCAAAGTTCTTAGCAATTAATTCAGCTTTGTCTTTAGGTGAAGTGACAAAGTCTGAACCATACAAAAGAGGTGGAATTACAGACTTGCCCTTACCATTGATACTAATAAAGAATCTCCAGAAGTCACTAGAGCCTAACTTTTGTGATGAAATACGAGATTTCATGATCTGAGAATAGCGGGCTTTGGTGTTAGATAAAACTTTTTTACAATGGTTTCTAGCAATAATAAACAGACGTCTGTTTTCTGGAGAATTGTTTTGCTGATAGATATGGAAGTAATGGTTTTGATTGGCAATTGCAGCAGCACAATGTGAGGAAAACCATAGAGAAGAGTAAATCTTGACCTGGAATCGTCAAGAGGGAATAAAGGATTCCATGCCAGCCTGAATCCACGAAGTTATGTAAGAAGCACATTTATTAGAAAGTTGACTATTTGAGTTAGGGATTGAGAAAGGCAAAAATTGTGGGCTTTAATGCCTGCAGAGTCACTGACACTAGAGCCAAGCCATTCAGTGTGATGAACATTAAAGTCACCGAAAACAACAATATTGTCTGTTGGATAAAGAGGGAGGGCTTGGTCAATATGATCAGAAATAACATAAAGAAGAGTGCAGTCTTAAGATGAAGGAGAGTGATATAAAACAAAGTTGCTCTCTTGCTTGGAGAGAGCAACAAACTATATAACAGATTTATAACTTGTAAATGTATTATATAAATATAACTTATAACTCTTTGCATATGACATATTTACAACTTGTAAACATATGACACATAACTACTTAACTTCTAACTGTGAATCACTAATTTACTACTTTACAATTTTTTTTTAAATAAAAATTAGACTTTTTTTTTTAGCAACTTTCAATATTCATTTTTTAATTAGAAAAGTTGTATGCTGCAAAAAAAAAAGGCAAAACTAATAATAAAGGATTTCATTAATATTAAAAAAATAAATAAATAAAAAATAAAAAAATAAAAACATTTGATTAAAATTTTATTTGGCTAAAAGAAAATAAGAGTTAAATAAAGCATGAAAAATAAAATAAATAAAAACTACTTATTAAGTAAAATAAAGAAAATGTATGTAGACTATGGGGAAGATGTGGGTGTCATCAGCTTCTTTGTTTTTGTGGATAAGATCTTTCTGTGTGTGTAATAGGGCTTTAGTGATGTTCCTGTTGATAATATCAAGATGGTACCCCTTAAGAACCAATTGGCATGCTAATGTGCGGAGCTCCTTATGTAAATGTTTTAAACAAAATTATTGACCTAAATTATTCTATTTAAAATTTAAAAAACATAAAAGGAAGACATACCTATCGAAAACATTAAGTAACCAATTTAAAGTCAAATCAACACATTGTGGAACAACAATAGCTTCTTTTCTTGTTGGATCAATATTACCAAACATTGTCAACAGAACTGCAACCATTTCTCCAACATCAATTAAACTGTCCTTATTTGCTGTAATGTCATGACGCTGAAAGGCTTTAATTGCAACATTGTCCATATCCACAAGATCAACTTAAAATGTTTGAAATCATTATTATAATGCATTTTTATAAATAAAAACTATATTTACAATTACAACTTACAAACAAAGTTAGTGACAGTACAAGAACATACAACAACAGTACAAGAACTTACAACAACAGTACAAGAACTTATTACAACAGTTCAATAATTTAGGACAAGAAAACAAAAACTTACGACAACAAGCTTTTTGTATACATCTCAGCTTCATAGAAGTTCGATATGCAGCAAATTTTACATCATTTAACTCAGCTAAAAATAAAGTACTTATTTAACATAGTAGAAGAGTTTTAAAAATTCACAATCTTCTAGAGGATTGTGAATTTTTAAAACTATTCCTAACTCAATTTTTGTCAAATGTAACTTTGTGTAATGGATGTTATTGATGAAAATGAATTTGTGTTAAGTAGATTTACATCTTTTTGTCTTGATGTCTTGATGAAAATGAATTTGTGTTAAGTAGATTTACATCTTTTTGTCTTGATGTCTTGATGAAAATGAATTTGTGTTAAGTAGATTTACATCATTTTGTCTTGATGTCATCTTTTTGAGTTTAGAGCCTGAGTTTAAGATTATCAAAAAAAGATTACGAGTCATTAATTTCATTAAGCTTCAGAATTTGTTGTTTCATATAAAATCATTGTGCTTGTTAGAATTCCCCATAGGTACCAACTTTTCGAAATCTCCTTTAAATTTTGACCAACCACAGATTTTACATGTAAAATCCAAACCTGAAAAATTCAGCTTGATCGACTAACTCATTTAAAATCATGAGCGAATCAAAATTGACAAAAATTAAGTATCTACATTAAGAATCTGGAAATTACATTAGATTTTTTTGACCTGAAATTTTGTAGAAAACTTAAGATCAAACCTAGTCAAAAACCTTTTACTAACTTAATGAATGAATTCATAATTAAACTAACTACAGAAGAAGTTGCTAAAGAAAAAAGTTGTTCAGACCTTGATAAGACATTTTTAAACAAGATTTTTTTATTTCCTGAAAATTGGTCAATAGAAAAAAATTTGAAACTAAAAAAAGTCTTTTTTAGTTTCAAAACTTTTTGTAAACATCTTTAAGAGAGCCTGAAAGATGAAAAAGGCATACTAACTAAACTTGGAGCTGAATGAATAAGGCATAGTTACTAAACTTGGAGCTGAATGAACAAGACATTTTTACTAAACTTGGAACTGAATAAATAAGGCATACTTACTAAACTTGGAGCTGAATGAATAAAGCATACTTGCTAAACTTAGAGCTGAATGAATAAGGCATACTTACTAAACTTGGAGCTGAATAAATAAGGCATACTTACTAAGCTTGGAGCTAAAAAAGAACAATCTTTGTTGGCTTGGAGCTAAAAAAGAACAATCTTTGAGGCTTGACCTGGAACCGTCGAGAGAGAATAAAGGATTTCATACCAGCCTGAACCCACAAAGTTATGTAAGAAGCACATTTGTCAATAGGAAGACGAAAGATTTCTACTCAGGGGCCATCACGAAGAAAATTACGGAAAGAGTCCCAGTCAGCTTCAAGGTATTCTGATGATAAAGAAGAATGAGATAATAGTTTTAGAGAGACCAAACCATGATCGGAGGCACCTAAGGGTGAGTGTGGAGAAACTGAGCACTGACTAGGATCGGAAACAAGACATAAGTCCAGTAGAGAAGGTAAATGATTCGGGTTATCTGGAAAGCGAGTTGGAAAGTTGACTATTTGAGTTAGGGATTGAGAAAGGCAAAAGTTGTGGGCCTTTATGTCTGCAGAGTCACTGACACTAGAGCCAAGCCATTCAGAGTGATGAACATAGAAGTCACCGACAACAACAATATTGGCTGATGGATAAAGAGAGAGCGCCTGGTCAATATGATCAGAAATAACATCAAGAAGAGTGCAGTCTTGAGATGAGGGAGAGCGATATGGAACAAAGAAAAGTGAAGAGCGATATAGAACAAAGAAAAGATAGAGTGAAGTGGTGCTAAACGAAAGCACATAAAAGAGTAGTCTGTGGATTCAAACCTAGTTTTCTGACAAATGGGAGAATTCTTACGAATGCAAATGCCCAGGCCAAGCATGTGACGATTGGGGTCTTTACGAATTAAAGGAAGATAACCATCAACACTAAGATCACAAGATGAGACAGCTGAACTCAAATTAGTCTGACAAAGAGCAAGTAGGTCTGGTGAACTTTGCAAGAGATAAGACTCAACAGAAGAAAAGTTACTTTGAAGACCACAAATATTAGTGAATGATAGGTTTAGCGAACTTGATGATGACTGTGGTTTTTTGTGTTTTTTAGTTTTTGCTACTTTATTCATTTTTAAATTTGTTAAAGAACTTGACTCGAAACATAGATAGTACTCACTGTTTAATAGCCCAAACAATTGCCTCATTTCTATTAATAAACCCTAAGCTGTAATAAAGGGCTCCAATGTGGCCTTAACAATGCACACCAAAAGTACAAACAGGAACACCAACCATGCACAACATGGCACTGTTAGTACTTTGATACTTTTCAGCTGTTGATGGAATCAGCCTCTCTGAGAGCTACCACAGAGTTCGGGAAACCTGAATACCAGCTGGCCTCAGAACCATAAAACTGAGTTTTAGAGCTGTACCCTCATTTGGAGATAATAGAATGAGTTGCCTAGTCATAAAAACAGAGACACAAGTAAAACCATGCATCGAGTCAAGAAGATCCAGCATTCAACATCCTAAACTGGAAACAATGTATTAAGAATACATCTGCGCCAGCCTAATAGATTTGGTTAGAGTATGTTCTTACCATCAGAATGCCTTATAGATTTGGTTAGAATATTACAAAGATTTATTAAAGCAATGTGTTTGTAATATTGTCAAAGGTGCATGTTCCATCTATATTCTCACTGTCCTGGTAAAGTAAATTTGAACACTTGAAAAATGTGTTTGTAAAAAATAACATTTATGACAAAAAGGGTTTGTATGTAGAATAATGTTGTTACTGTACATTTAACAAAATGTGAGTTGCGGAACTTTAGTTCCATGACTTTAAAAGCAGAGTAAAATAAAATAAAATTTGTAATAGAATAATAATAACAATGATAAATGATACGAATATACAAGGAAAACAGACAAGATAATATGGTTATCTTGTCTGCTTTCTTTCTATACCGACACCTGGAGTAAAACATGGTAGTTTTCTTTTAAATCATTGAAATGGAATTCAATACTATCTGAATTTTTTTATAAATCATTAACCACACATTTATAAAATATTTTTTTATAAAATTAACCACACATTTATAAACATGTAACAATCTCACATTTATAAATGTGTATTAATCACATGTTTATAAATGTGAATTAATCACAAGTTTATAAATGTGTATCAATCACACATTTGTAAATGAGTATCAATCACACATTTGTAAATGAGTATCAATCACACGTTTATAAATGTGAATTAATCACAAGTTTATAAATGTGTATCAATCACATGTTTTTAAATGTGAATTAATCAATCACATATTTATAAACTCAGAGTTGTATCACAGACTAACTCTCATGTCAATTGGTATTACAAGGTAATACCATATAACAATTATAATAAAACAAAAAATCTTAAAAAATTCAAAAAAAATCTGCATAAAAACTATACCTAAAAAAATTCGCATAAAACTATACCTAAAGTGTTGTACAACTCTGTCATTTTAGGATGATCCCATTGAGTCACTTTTGTGGTATGACTAGAAGTGAAGTATGTATATTTATATATTATATATATGTATATATAACACATATTAAAAAAAACATGAATAAAATATTATATGAACTAATTTAGTTAGATATTATAAGCATTTAGATCATACTTAATATAATATGGCACTTTGTTTAAAGAGCAACTTCGTTCCCATGGTGGTGAGACACTTCCTAATTAAAAAATTTTATTATCAAGTATATAAGTATAAGAAAAACCAATCAAGCAAAAAAATAAATAAAAATAATACTAAAAATATTTACAAATAAAACAATGTTTAACATAAACTAAACCTTGAAGCTGTGACTGTTTGTCTTGGTCATTATTTAAAATGTTATTCAACATATTGTGTCTTTGTTCACATTCTGATTGTAATTTACTCCATCTTTGTAGAAATTCATCAACTTGCTTTTGTTTTTGTCCTAAATCTACTCCATAACTAACCTTTAAAGCTTTAACCTTACCATTAATACTATCAATGTATGGCTCAAGTGAGGTGACACTGTCATTGAAAACCTAAAATAAATTTTAATTTGATTATGACATAAAATATATAAATCAAATCTATTTTTTTGTAATTTTCAAATATTTTTTATCAAAACATTACTTTAGTTTCTTCCAAAGCTTTGTTTACATTCTCACAATTAAAATCTGAAGTTGGATTCCAAAGATTTTTACGATTTTCTGCATCTTTGAGACGGTTGTTAAGATCATCTATTTCTTTAACGAGCTTGTTCACAAGCTTAAAAAAATTATTTATCCAATTACATTTTAATTTTTATTAATTTCATTAAATATCTTTTTTACATGCAACAAAATTATATATTTTACATTTATAATAAAAGTTAAATAAATTAAAAAAAAAAAAAAAGTTAAATAAATTTATAAAAAGAAAAGTTAAATAAATTTATAATAAATATTAAATTTATTGAACTAAAATCTGAGGCAAACAGCATACAGCTGTTTTAGCACAAATGTCTTGAAATTGATATTATTGAAAACTATGAATTTTGTTTTTTTTTGATACAATTTTCTGATATATATATATATATATATATATATATATATATATATATATATATATATATATATATATATATATATATATATATATATACTTACTAAAGCGTATTTTTATAAGCATTTGCTCACTTTTTTTTGTTTACCTTAACCCATATGGCTTTTTTAGAAAAAGAAGAAAAAAAAATGAAAAATTATGAAAGAAATGATTGCTGCCCCATCCCAAACCCTCAGTCGATGTAGCAGCACTCCACTGCTAGTCAGGCTATTTGCTTTTTGTATATATAAATTTAAGCCATTTTTTTAAAAACCATTACTATTTCTGAAATCTCTATGAAATTCTGGTTCTTTTGAGACACAGGTTGATATACTTTTGAAGAAGAAAAATTCACTGATATACGGGAGCCAGTGAGTAATCAAGGGATGACCTTTGTCGGTGACCTTTTTAAAAAATTAAATAAAACCAATGACTTTTCAGTTACTTTTAAACCAAATTTCATCCGTTTTTTATATTGGAAACAGGAGTTACCTAAAAGTTACATCCCTAATGTTCATATGTAAGTTTTTATTTACACTATATTATTAATATAGTAAAATAATATTAATTGTTTTTGAAACCTATATTTTAAAACTTGACAATAAAAGAAAAATATTATATAAAAAATTTATTGTCACATTTAAATTTGTTTTCATAAGAAAGAGCTCAGTTAAGATTGGAAATTCAAACAGGAGAGAAATAACTTGTTTAGTAACGAGTGCAAAATCTGTTTAGATGTTACATTATCGTCCGCAAAGGCTCCGCAACCGGTAGCGGATCGTTAAAGCAAAAAGGTTTTAAAGCGATTTTTTTTTTCTTTTTTTTTTTTTTTAAGCAAAACAGCCTGGTTTTTATCTTTGTTTTTAAAACGTTGCGTTAAATTAACTTTTTATCAATAACTTCAATTAATATTTATAATATTTATCAACAAATTTATATTATTAATTTTACTACTTTAATTATATTAAAATATACCTTAAATTTGTTTTTATTACAATTTGCTATAAAAATGCTGATAGAAACCAGTAACTTTTATGCTTTAACGACGATGAACCCCAAAAGCAATTTCTTTGCGCATTTATCCAAAATTAACCGAATCGGCCAGGCGGGAGGGTTGCTATAAACCACTCTCACAATTTAGTACAACAACATGTCACAATTTATTATAACACTGCATTTTATTACCAAATACGAAGAAAACATTCCACCAACACCGCGCTCTACTTAAGAGGTCTAAGTTTATTAAAAAATAACTTCAGGGAAAAACTAATCCCATATAGGGAAACTAATCTAACAGAAACTATGTAAAAAAAATAATGCAATGTTGTAAAAAAAAAATAACACTTTTACAGCTACTGCTAATACAATTTTTTATCCCATCATAACTGAGAACGTAGAAAGCTTAAAAATATGTGAGATGGTCAAATAATAATCCTCTCGTTAAGCGATTTAAAATAAATATATTTCTTGGTTTTTTAAAGACTTGAAAAAACTAACGAGTTTTTTAACTTGTAACGTTGTTTTGGTTTTTTTTTTAAAAGGACGTAGTAACGTTGATAACGAGGTAACGTTGTTATGTTTATTTGATTAATGTCTTTGAAATCCTTTTTTTGATTTGATATTGTTGCTTTTTAAACTACTGCTATTATTATTTTTTTATTATTTATTTTATAAATCAACATTTTAATTTATTTACTATTGATACTGCATCCAGGCCAGTAGGAACCGGGGTTAGCAGGGACATTTGCCCCCCCCCCCCCCTAATAGTTTTTTAAATAAATAGTTTTGAAAAAATTGACTAAAAAAATGACTAAAAAAAAAAATATTTCGGGGCCACTTAATCCAGCACTGCCCCCCCCCCTCACATAATTTTTGTTCCTACGAGCCTGGCATTAATATGGTTTTAATTATTAGTAATATAACTTAATGTGTTAATGCATACAGAAAATATCAAACTGATATAGCTTAAACTTTAGTTTAAAAAGCTAAAAAATAATGTAATCCTAAAAATAAATAAAGTGAAAATAAATTAAATGGATGTATACCGTTCAATGTTTTTTGTGAGGCTGGTTTGAATTTTCACTTCGTTGACTTGTATCTTTTTACAGTTCACTTTACTGACTTGTATCTTTGTATCAGTTCACTTTGTATTTTTGTATCAGTTTATCAATTTTTTTTTATGATTCAAGTTTAGTTTTAGGTTGTAAGAGTAATTTGCATATATCTTCATATTTGTCATCTTAAAAAAGAATTTCAGACAAACTATTTGTATTTTAAGCTTTTTTTCTCCACATATATGCCCCCTTTGCCAATTAATCCAACTTGATTTATTTGCATATAAATTTTTTTACACTTTTTGATCTTGATAAATGACGGTATGATAAAATTTGTCGAGTGCGCCATTCCGTTTTGATTTTGTCAAAGTACAAAGCAGAAACGCAAGACCATTTTAAGCTTCTTTCTCTCTTTAAACTCAATCAAATCACTTACAATATTTGTGTAGAGAGTTAATATCCTATTCAAAGCGCAGTACTAAGACTCAAAAACAGATAATAGTCTAATTTTATTTTCTAATGTTCTCTTCAAAGCAATAAAAGTTTGGGTTACACGAGTTTGTCATTAAAAGAATTGTAATTTAAATTTGTCTTGGGCCGTGTAACTAACAATATGAGTTATTTCCATTGTCCTGATGTAAGTTACGTATATTATAAAGACACTGCTCATAAAATGTTCCTGTAGCAACTACATTTTACCGGTGTTAGCTTTTCTGCATGAAATATTTCGCAATACGTTGTCGTAATAAATTGTGACGTATTTGGTAATAAAATGCAAACAGCTATGATAAATTGTGATATGTTGCAATGCTAAATAGTGACGTTTTGCTGTTTTAAAACCTAAAGTTTTCGTAATCTTTGATGAACTTTTATAAGTTGTAAATTAATGAAATCTTAAATGAAGTATAAAGAACAAATTTTTTTATTTTTTTACTAAATTAGAAAGAGATAAGTTAAAATTCTAAAAATTTATAAAGACGTGTGTGACTAAGACTTAAACGGCTTTTGATACAAGTATAACTTTGTATGTTTTTTGTCATGAAGTAAAAAAATTTTCAAAATTATTAACCGCATACATAGTATCTAATTATATCTTACAAATATCTAATTATATTTAACGTCATTTTACTGCAAAACCTTTATCGATAATACAATTCTTGTTGACAACATGCTGCGACCAAAATGATCTCATAATTATATAATTCTTTTGATCTAAATGATCTTATAATGCGCGCTGTCTACATTCAAAAACACAAAATAATAAGTGTGTTCTTATATAATATTATAAATGAATACATATTATTATATATAAATATATCTAATATTTATATCTATATATATATATATATATATATATATATATATATATATATATATATATATATTTAAGGAAAAACTTTTCATATCTATATAAAAGCTCCTATAATATTTTTTGACGCCATACATTTAAACTTTCCACCAAAATTTAAAGCAAAAATATAAAATCTCATTTTTTATAACAGTTTAATTTTTTGTCAACAACTAGTAAAACGAAAGTTTTTTTGAAAATTCTTGAACTAATCCTAATACTCAATATTTAATTTAACACTAGATATCTATTTCAAAATGATCATTTTAACACCAGATATCTATTTCAAAATGATCATTTTAGGAAGCTGTTTTACTGATGGCGTTTATTTCAGATTACAAACTCCCGGGTGTATATTAAAACTGATAGATAAAAAAACCAAATTCTTTCTAATAAAGAGCTTTACTTAAACTTCTTTACTTTTTTTACACTTTTAAACATAAAAACAAATACTTCCGAACCATCTAGTATTCTATTTTTCAAAAACCACTTTTGGACAGAATTTTTAAGGTTGATCACTTTTGTTCAGGTTTTTTTTATGGCTGAAAATTTTATTGAAGTTAATTAAATTATTAACTTTATTAAATACGTTAAAATCTTATTATTATTACTATTTATATTATTTTATTTATTATTATTACTATTTATATTATTCAATTTAAAGATTTTTTAGGTAATTTTTTGAATATAATTATTAAGTTATTTGTTTCACAAATTATTGTCGGTGATGGTAGATGTGGTATTTTTCGAAAGACCATGAAGCATCATAATATAGTTAAGACAAAATATAGTTTTTTTCTGAAATGCAGCTAAAATACCTAGTTTTTTATAATATAGGCAACTATTTTTAATAAATATTTACCTCGTCAGTAAACCCCTGTTCGTTTTCCCCCTCTTCGCTTATTTCTTCTTCTTTGATTACTTCTGGTATGAACTTTTTGATGAAGTAAGGTTTATTACTGCGATTAATATATGGCCCTTTTTCGGTTTCTTTTAAAGAAAATCCTGGCAACTTTGGAACTGTAATTTTGACCACTTTGTTAATTTTAGAATGCATCAGTTTTGTGAACAACTTATCCCTACTTCTTTTTTTACATACAGGAGCTGCTTGTGTTATTTTATTGGCTAAATAATCTATTTTGCTTCGATCATTCAACTCTGAAATGTAAAAGTTATTTGTACTAAAACTACGTAAACGAGTTGCAACCCCATAGTCATTAAGCCACCTAGTAATAGTGTCTTTGTTTACTTTAGCAGTTTCTGACAACTCAAAATTACTAAGAGAGTTTTTAGATAAGTCAGGGGGATCAGATAACTCAAAAAAAGAATCGTTTTTTTTTGATTTGAACTCAATATTAACGTAAACGTGTTGTTCATTTGCAAACGTGATATACTTGTTCAAATCAATTTCTTTATCAAAGTTTAAAAACAAAACACTATTTTGCAATGTCTGTTCAACCAAAAATTTGTTTGAAACTTCATCCAAAGAACTAATACCATTCAGATTTTCATCGTAGCGACATAAATCTGTTGGCACAGTAAAAGATCTGATTCGGGCATCATTTATATTAAACAAAAATCTATCGTCTTTACTTATATCATACTTTTTCCCTCTTGTCTCCAGCATACTAAAGTTATATAACTCTAACATATATTATTGATTTGACGACAACATTATTGATTTATATATGAAAACAATATGATTTACCACATCGACAATGAAAAAAGTTCTTAAAAACAATTAAAACTATCAACACATATCATTTATGAAAAAACTTCATTACACACAGAGTTTTAAGAAAATCTTTAACAGAAATATTTTTATTTCGTTATATAAAAGTAAATATTTGCTTCTGTTTTAAAGTGTTCATTGAACAATTGTTCGTGTGAATGTAATACGAGATGACTTGTTATTATGTTATATTTAATCCCATAATACCCCGGAATTAAGAATTTCCTAAACGTTACGAGCACGTTAATTACATTGTAGTTAATCACGATTTAACAATTTTATCAAATACATATACACAGCAATTTTATTTTATCAGTAACTAAAACTATTTATGTGTTGATTAAAAAATGAACTATATACAATAAACAAAAATAGAAAGTAAGATAAACAAAATACGATAAACAAAAATAGAAAGTCATCATTAACCAATACAAATTTAATGGAAATGATATCAAACTAAGTTTTATGTATTTTATGTTGCTAAAAAAGGGTTTTCAATCAACTCATGAATTTTTAACTGGGAACATATGCATTAATTTTCAAAATTATTTTTACCGAGTTAACCTTAGGTCACACACACACACACACAAACACACACACACACACACACACACACAAAATATCTACGTGAAACAATCAACGTCAAATTTAAAAAGTCAGATTGAAATATGCATAAGAATTTTTTTGCTACATGAAAGCAAAAAATTTTAATAATTTGTCTAAAATATAAAGCCTGTAAATAATTTAATAAAAAAACAAAAAACGAAAAAAACAAACAAACCATGAGACTTTTTTTCTCAAGATTTTTAACATTTTTAATAATTACCTTCCGTACTTTGATACTTCCGAATAAAATTAATATTTTTACGTTATCATTTCAGCTATTATTTTTTTATTTTGCTAAACTAGTTATTTATTATATGGGTGTATTTTTAACAAAACGTTTGTGGAGTTTATATTTAGAACTGATAAACTTATCCTGTTTAAGTATTTTCAAAAATGTAATAACATTATTCATGGTCGTTTTTTGTGTGTATTATTTGAAAGCAACAACGAAAAAAACAAAATTAAAAACAGAGAACTCGGATTTTTTTTGTCAACCAGTACAATTACAAATTTATATATACACATATTTGTTTATATATATATATATATATATATATATATATATATATATATATATATATATATATATATATATATATATATATATATCGCTTTAAACAAAAATCTTAATACTTCGCATCAACCAATTGAACTTTATATAAATATACAGCAATAAAAATGCATACTGCAAAAAGTAGAGATTAATCTCTTCATAAGACGCTAAAGTTGTCCTACCAGCATGGTACTCTCAAGTTGTCCTATTTGGCTAAACAGCATAACTAAACTTTTTTTATAAGAGGGTGTTTATAAGAGGGTGTTTATAAGAGAGTGTTTATAAATTAACGTTATAGCACGTTAAAATCTTGTGTCGAAACGCTGTTAATGTTCTGCTATTTAAATTTAACGTGACATAACTTATTAATTAAACGCAAAGCCGGACAAATGTGAACGCACGAGACAAAAAAGCAAAAGTTGTATTTTTAAAAACAATTTTAAAAATTTATTATAAAAATGCGGTCCAATGCAAGTGACCGATATGCGGTCCAATGCAATGGACCGATAATGCCAACATGAATTGATCCACTGAAAATTGTTTCGATGATCCTGTGAGCAATTTTAGGTTATTTCTTTTTTTAACTAAAAGCGTATATTCTTTTACTACAAAATGATAATTGGCAGAGTGTCTTGGCAGATACTTTTAATCCATTCATTCAAAAGACGACAAATATACCAAATTTATACATATATGAACCACTTTATGTTTCGAATGATAAAAGGTATAAATAGCTTCAGGTATTTTTGCAAAATTGCGTAGCAACAGGAAGTTCTCAGGGGTACTTTCCAATCCTCATTATGTCGAATTGCGTAGCAACAGGGAGTTCTCAGGGGTACTTTCCAATCCTCATTATGTCGAATTGCGTAGCAACAGGGAGTTCTCAGGGGTACTTTCCAATTCTCATTATGTCGAATTGGGGAAATATTTTTAATTAATCTTAAGTTTTTAAAAAATTTTGTTGTTAGAATTTAATTTTGAGGAAATTTTTTTGTGAAAATAAATAAACAAAGTTTATTTATTTTTACTACTACGTATCTAGTATCTTTTATATTATTATTTATTATTATTATTTTGGAGGAAATAAAATTTCAACACATAGTGACAGTAGTTGATAACAATAAGTCATACATACATCATTACAATAATGGATCACTTATTACAAGCCATTCACTTACTCAATACATGTATTATAAATGGCTCGCAACACATCGTTGAATCTACTACGAAACAATGCTTAAGCTGGCGGGAAAATGCCTAAACTGGCGGAAACACGATAGACTTAAACTAGAACATAAAAATTTTATTTTGCAAAAGAAAATGGGAAAAAACAAAGGCGAGAACAAAAACTCTTTAATAATTAATAAATTTCGCTTGGTTTGAAAAAAACGTTTGAACACAAAAATTGAAGTAAAAAGTTACATTTAATGCAAACATACTCCCGAGTCCTTAATACAAGGAGGAAAGAAAGTTAATTAATTTTTTTGAAAATTTCCCCACCCACCCTAAGCTTATTAAGATCCCTATCCCCCGTTTATTAATTTTTACTTATTATCAAGAAAAAACTCTATATCTTAAAACTAAAAAAACTCTTTGAAAATCGGCCTTAAAAATTAGAAAATAATTATTTCAGTCACTGATAAAGCAAAAGCTTTTAGTGTAAACAGGCTTTAAAAACTGTTGACCAAGTAAATCTCGATTAATCAAAAATTAGCTTATGGTTTATTTCTCACCGAAGTATAAAACTTATATCAGCATAATAAATCCTATTGAAATTATGATAAAACAGCTGTTAGAAAATGCGCATTTGACCACAAGCCATGCTAGAAATAAATAGCTTTGTGCCTGTTTTATAAAAAATATTAGTTTCGATTTATAAACTGAAATTTTTTTAAAAAAATACTTATATTGTAACATGAAAAAATTCACACACACACACACACACCCGCCTCCCCTGTTAATTAGATTTTTTTTTTTTTTTTTTTTTTGTTATTCACCTCCTACCACTACAGATGAGGAGGCTACATAATAGTGGTTAAAACCTTCTCTCAACTTTATAACTCCGAAACACGAACCTTGACGAACAAGGCCACTGCGCGGAGAAACAAGTTGATTCGAACTAAAATTCCCACCCTCATCCTTTTATTCCCCCACCCCCCTTGTATTAAGGACTCGAGAGTACAAAAATGTAAAAAAAAAAAAAAAAAAAAAAAATCCAAATAAAAAGAAAAAGTAAAATGTATGAAAAAAACAATAAACAGCAAATAAAATAAAGAACAGCAGTTATATACACATATCCGTTACAGCGGTAATAGCGATTTAAAATACAACTATTTACTCTTCATTTATCAAACTTTCCTTACCTCTAACACTGTAATGTAACTTACCTCTAAAACTGTATCTATTGTAACTTGCCACTTTTCTGAATTGCTCATTAACAATTGCCATTGTGTTTCAATATGTTCAATCTGTTCTTGAACACTAGAAACAATATTGTCTTCACGAGAAGCAAGTTCATGCACTTGGTGTTTCATTAAAAAATTACGACCTTGATCCAAAACTTGCTTTATAACTACTTGACGAACCAGAAGTTTCCCCTTGAATGCCTAAAAGCCAGATCCATTTAAGACAACTTACATAACAACAATACACATTATAAAACAAAAAATATATACAGAGTTGACACAGACACACAGTTAAACCACATAAAAATGTATATTACTAATTTGAAAAAACCTGATGATTTTCATGCTGGTGTTTTATAGTTGAGATATCTGATCCAACTGGTTGTTGCGAGTTGAGTTCTTGTCCGGCTCTTAACAACCAATCCACTATCTCCTGCATGTCAAATAGCAACTGACGCCATTCTCCAGTACCATCAGCCATTCTAATAAAAGGTAAGCATTTTGTTGTATTTTCAACTAATATATTTAAATAATAAACCAAACATTTGAAATTTTAAACCAATCACCTATCTCTTATATCAACAACCCTTAAGCCTAAGCTGTTCCATCTATCGTTCATATCATCTAATTTAGATTGCAATGCTGTTCTAACTTCGCCTTGCTCAAGATCCATCATGATCTGGTTACCAGTATCATTAAGACTTTGGAACATAGCTTGATGTAACGCAATATCTTCTTCTAAAGCCTAGAAATGTTTAAGTAACTGTAAATAACAATATCGCTCAATAACTTTAAAATAATTAAGCATATCGATGAAATAATAAATCTATAGATTTTCTACACACCAACATTTCTTGCTGTAGCTCTTCCAAATCAGTATTATCTTCGGTCTGACTTGCTTCGAACAGTGAATCAAGCTCTGCAACTTTTGATTCAGCGGACGAAAGCCACGTTAAAGCCCCAATCATGTTTTTATGAAATACGAGAATATTATCTAGAGCCTCTTGTAAAGATTGTTGTCGAATATTCGACCTAATAATAATGAAAGAACAAAGAAGTTAACATATTCAAATAAGATATTTTAGTACGACTGTATTATCATTTGATAAAAATAAAAGATAAGTTAAGCTATGAAGTTTCATGTTTCATCAAAACTCATAAATATATCAAAAAGAATGTTACTATGGGTTATTTAAGAAATTATTTGAGTACAAAGTTTACGACCACTTTTATTAAACAAAAATATTTTTAAAAAAAATTATTCTTTGAACTTAAACTCTTAAACCTTATAATAAATTTTCTTAAAAATAAATAACACTATTTAACAATTTAAACCTTCTATTAGTTATAAAATTGCATGAGGCTATTTTTTTTTTACTAATAAGATTGCGTGTTGCTGCTCTTTTTATATTAGTAAGATTGTACGTAGCCACCCTTTTTGTACCAGTAATATTTAAATTTTCTTCGCAATGTAAAGACTTTCTACACCACATAAAAAATATTCTCCTTCAAACGAGTCTATGTCATTACTCATACGTCCTCCAAGCATAAGTGCTGAGATTTCATAACAAGAAATATTTTCATAATAATAAAAAAAAAGTTCGTTGTGTGTTTTGTATCAACAAACATTATTTATTATTAAAGTTTGATATAATCTCACATTAATTTTGTAAACATACACTTCAAAAAATAAAGTAAAGAAAACACACTCATAATACGTCATAATTTCATAATTTAAAAAAAAATGTTTTTGTGACATTGTTTCTTTGGACGGTTAGTGACGTAATTACTTTTGTACAAAAAGTGACGACTTTGCTGCTTGGTAAAACGTTTTTTTAATTTTACTACCATTTTGTTATTTTTTGCAGATTTAAATAAGTTACATTTTTTGACAAAGAATAATTAATAATAATTAATAAAAATATAACAATTATAATAGTAACTATAAAATAAAATTAATTACTTTGTATCTAAATCACTCCAAGCTTGCATCATTTCCTTGCACTTTCCTTTAAAGCTGGTTAAATCGAGACTAGAATATGTTTGTAGAATATCATCAGTTTGCTTTCTAACGTTATTAAATTGTTCAGAAAATGCTAACAATTCTTCTTGGAAAACCTTAAATAACAACCGGTGATTATTCGGACTAAAATATTATTACATAATAATAAGTCAGTCAATATATTATATACAATCAAAATATCAGCTTAAAAAATCTTTATAAATGTTTAATTAGCTTGAAGCAACCAAACAAATGTCAACAATAAAATTCTGATTTTTTCCTTAAAATTTAAACTTAAAATGCACTCACAACTTTTTTATAACATTTTGTTACATCTTGTTGGACATCAAAGCAGTATTTATTTAAAAAGTTATATTGCAAATACTTAACAAATATATTACTAGTGATAACTTAATACTTCTTTTTTTAAATTTAATATTAAGATAAACTATAGTCTAATACTAAAAAAAAAATTATTTTAAAATTAAAAACAAAATCATGCCTTATGTTTGCTAAGTTGGTTTTCAAGTTCTGTTACCGTGCTACCAACTTTTAATCGTTCATTTAACTGACTTCCCGCCTTGTGAATCCAATTGTCCACCTGAGTTATAATTAAGTTACATCTTCGCAAATCACCTAAATTTATTTGTTTATATTACACTCAAAAAGTTTATGACAAATAATAAGTAATAATGTAAATAAAACAAAAAATGACATAAAATGAACATACGATTTAGCTGTTCAAACATTGCCTTTTGAGATTCAATCTTTTTAGAAACAATATCCCAACGTTCCTTAAGTTTTGTAATTTTATCGTCTGTAGCATAGTTAAACGATTCATTTTTTGAATTCATAGTCAACGCTGCTCCCATTTCTATAACGTCCTCTAGATCACCTCGTCTGTTGTTAACCTCTTGTTGAATTGCCTAACAAAATTATTCGTGAAATATTGAAAGCAATAAATTACTTAAAGTATGTAATGCAGTTATTTAAAAATATATTGACAGATTTTTCTCACGTTATGCTTTTGAACGGCTAACTCGATGTCATCAGGATCTCCAACATTTAATGTAAATCCTTTTAACTTTTGCTCAATGAGTTTTAATACATCGTGTAACTCAGCAACGTTTTTGTCAAATTTATTGACTAAAATAAAAGTTATTATTGTTATGTAAGAACGTAAAAAGAGGCAACAAACAAAGTAACAAAGACAAAAATAAAGATAACAAAATATTTTAAAATATTTAAACAAAATATTTTAAAATATCAATACTTTTGTCTTCCTGAAGAACTTCGCTGTCGAACGTTATAACAGCTTCATTTTCTTTTAGTAACTCCTCGATTAAAACTTCTTCATTAACTGTTTGATCAATAGAATGGACAGCTAATGTAGAAATTACTTTCCAGTCTTCGTTCAACCTTTTCATTTTATCAATAATATCTTGTGGAAAACGACTCGTAGATTGATAAGTTTTGTATTCTTCAACTGAGCAATTAATAGTATCAACATTCACTTGGCGATCTCTAATCGACTTAAGTAACTGCAACAAAACACATAAGTATGTAATTTAATTAAATTTGTTGATTTAATTCATCAAAATACTTTTAAACTTCTTATAAACAGACTAAAAAGAAAACAAACAAGCTACGAAAAGCAAAAGAAAAACAAACAAGCTATGACAAGCAAAAGAAAAAAAACAAGCTACGACAGGCAAAAGAAAAAAAAACAAGCTACGGAACAAAACAAACGAGCTACGGAGGAAAACAAAAAAGCTACGGAGCAAAATTAACCTGATGATTAGTGAGATTTCCTTGTTTGGATTTTTCAAGCAAATTTCTTGTTGAACAAACCCAATCATAGAGCTCCTCTAGATTCTCCAGGAAAAGTGTGGCTTTTGAAAGCTGCTCTTGTACCATTGTTATGTGGTTTGGTAACAAAGTAGTTACCTCACTCCACTCTTGCAGTAAGTGGTTAGAATGTGCAGTGATTTCTTCTAGCAATATTGGGGAAATATCTTTGGAAAAAAGTTTGTCTGGATCCAATCTGAGGGTGGTTATAAAATCTACATGATCTCGTTGATCAAGAGTAGACTTAATATTCTACAGAATTACAAAGAAATTTAATCTATATAATTATTTAATGTAATCGGTATCTATATAATTATTTAATGTAATCGGTATCTATATAATTATTTAATGTAATCGGTATCTATATAATTATTTAATGTTATCGGTATCTATATAATTATTTAATGTAATCGGTATCTATATAATTATTTAATGTAATCGGTATCTATATAATTATTTAATGTAATCGGTATCTATATAATTATTTAATGTAATCGGTATTATTAACTTAAACGGTAAAAAGAAAAATTAATATAAACATATAAAATTTTACTTTTTTAACTTTATAAATATATTTGCTACCTCTGAAAATTCCTAAACATCTAAAAGTTTTTGTCTACCGAATAGATTAAAAACAACAAAAAAAAATATCTAAATAAAAACATCATCACCTGAACGGTTTTTAAATGAATCTCTAAATCCTCTTCATTTAAAGGATGAGGTTTATTGTTTAACAAAATATGCTTAGATTGTGCAAGTAATCTCTCTAAAACACCTAATGTTTTAATCACTGATTTCATGTGATCATCACCACTAAACAAACTAAAACAAAAAATAAGTAATGAAAGATTTTAATTTTATATACTCAATTGTTTTGAAGTTCATTAAAAAAAGATTTTCTTGTTGAATTGTATTTTTTAAAAACGAAGAACTTTTAAAAAACAATTAAAGAAACCAATTTTAACTCATATTATATATTGAGACTTTGGTTTTTAAAAAATCCCCTACCCTGTTGTTTATGTTACCATCACCTTTATATTTTATTAACCGCCTTTATGAAAAATTTCCCAATCCCTTCAAACATTTATAAATGATATAAACATTTATAAATATTATAAATAAGATTAAAATTTATTACCATAATAAAAGTATTTAAATTAAAATATTTCTTAGATTTTCTAGATTTTTTTTAACTTTTAGAGACCTTAAGAGTGTAATGTTGTTTTCAAGTGTCAACTCGTGCCGCCCCATTTGATGTCACATAGCCCAGCAAATCCGGGGCAGATCAAAAGAATAAAGGAGAGTAATTATCTATATCTCTTCTTCAAACTATAATTCTAAAACACTAGCATCTAGAGACAAGATCACATAGAAGCAAATAGATTTTAGTGATAACAGAATTTAGTATTCTGAAGTTTCTTTAAAACCTCAAGTACAAAAGTAATTTTTAATATTCATTATTCAGAACTTAATTTATTTAATAAAACAAAGAAAGCCTGTTAATTTATGCATTAAAATGCAAACCTTAATTTCATGTTGCTCAATTGTTTTTTTATTTGATTCCATCTCATACTTAAACTTGTTTTCTTTTCAAGAAACTCTTTTCCATTGATTTCAGAAGAATTAGCAACAACATACTCTATAGCCTGCATTATTGAATTGAATAAAACATTTTTTTCTTGAACAGCTTTCTCAAAAGTCTAGAAAAAAAAGTTTTCTATAATAAAAACATGATAAGTATGTTGACAATGATGATGATGGTGATGAAGACAATGTTAATAAGAAAAATTCAATTACATTATAAGTTTTCTCTGTTCTTTCGCAAGTTATAAATTCATTTTCTAACTCTCCAATAAACTTTAGGAACTCTGTTAAATCATTTTGAAGATTTTTCCATTTTTTTTGGAGATCATAAAATATGCATTGTTTTTCTTTTAAGTCTTTATTTAAAAAATTCCATTTCGATCTCATTAATGTTAAGCTGATGTCAATCTCTTGCATATTCGTTTCAGAACTCTCTGTTAAATATTGCTCAGAACTCGTCATAATGCTGGCAATAACTGGATAAAGTTCATTTATAGCCATTGTAACCTCCTAAAACATACATAAATATAAACAATATAGTTAAATATGAAAAGAAAAACTAAATACGAAAAAGAAATTTATAAGCAAATCATTAAATTAAAAAAAAAAAAAGATTAAAAGAACAAAAAGAAAAAACTTCCTCTCTGTATATAAGTTGCTTATCTATATAAGCTACCTATCTTAATAATTACAACCTAAACTTGCACTAAAAAAAACTTAAACTAAAATTGCACATAAGACTTAATATAATATGAGAAGCAAAAAATGTAGCTGTAAATTGCTATAACAATTTAAAAGTAAATAAATCTAAAAAAAAAATAGCTAATATAAATTTAGAAACTATGTAAGTAGGTCAAAATTTTATATATTTTTTATTTTATTTGCATTCACTCCCAACAAGGCTGCAAGCAACCACTATTAAGTTGGGAGTTACTAGGAAAAAAAAAGAACAGAGTTATAGGAAAACGGTTGACAGAAGACTTGAAAAGTTAAAGGTTGTATGAGTCAGGAAAACATGAAGATGGGAGAGAGTTCCAAAGGATTGAAGTGCGGGGAAAAAAACTAGATGAATAAAAGTTTTTAGAGCAGGTCCAACAACATTTACAATGCGTTTTTGGACCTTGTCAAGAAGAGAAAGTGAATCATTAGAAGAACCAGCCCAAATATGACAACAGTATTCCATACAGGGACGAATAAGAGATTTGTAGAGGTAGAGAATGGATTCAGAAGTAAGGAAATGGCGAGCACAATAAAGAGAAGCAACCTTAGCAGAAGCTAATTTAGCAATCGATTGTATATATGGTTTCCATGAAAGGTCAGTAGTAAGCGATAATCCAAGAAGACGTAAAGAGGACGACTCAGTAAGAGGATTGCCATTCATTAATATAGGAATGTTGACCATATTACGGTAGTTGTTTGCAGTAAGCAATTGGGTTTTTTTAGAGTTGAAATTCACAAGCCACTGTGAACCCCAATCTATTACTGAAGTGAGATCAGATTCAAGATCAGCTGCTTGTTCTAGGCAATCGAAAAGAGAAAACTTTTTGTCAAGAAAGGAGTATAAAGTTGAGTCATCAGCAAAAAGAGCTACTTTAGATGAAAGGTTGTCAGGAAGATCGTTTATGTAGATAAGAAACAAAACAGGGCCCAGGATGGAACCTTGGGGAACCCCAGAAGTTACTGGAAATAAAGAAGAGTGTTGGCCTTCAAGGATGACTTTAATAAACCGATTAGAAAGAAATGATTTGATAATCTCAAAAACTTTCCCAGAAACACCATATGAAGCAAGCTTATGGAGAAGACCAGCATGCCAAACTTTGTCGAAAGCTTTAGATATGTCGAGAGCAATAGCCCTAGCCTCACCGCCTCCATCTAATGCATGATAAAATCTTTCAGTTACAGCAGTTAGCAAGTCGGCCGTAGAGCGAGAGGATCGAAAACCGTATTGATTGTCTGACAGCAGTTTATTTGACACAAGATGAGATGTGAGGAATTTGTTGATCAAAGACTCAAAGACCTTGCTAATAACAGAAAGAAGACTGATCGGACAATAATTGGAGGGGTCAGAATTTTCTCCAGAGTTTTTGAATATTGGAACCACAGATGCCATTTTCCAACAAGCAGGAAAACAAGACTCAGTCAAACACTTGTTAAATAGTTTAGAGAGAATTGAAGAAAGTTCTGGAGAACAATTCTGCAAGACTGTGACAGGAATGTTGTCTGGACCACAAGCTGTAGACGAGTTTAATTGAGATATGACTTTAGCAACAGAAGCCGGAGTGATTTGAATGTCTAACAATGGGTCAACCTGTTTGACTGGAATGGAAGGAAGAGAATGTCCATAAGATTCAAGAGTGGAATTAGAAGAAAAGTTCTTTGCAAACAGTTCTGCCTTATCCCTGGGAGAGGTAACAAGATCAGTCCCATGAATGAGAGATGGAATGTTAGATCTACCCTTGTTCACACTGCTGTTGAAGATAAAGTTTCATATATAAAAATTTCATATATAAAAGTTAGGTCAAAATTTTATACATAAAAGTTTGTTTTCAACCCAGGGATGTAGAGCCACAAAAGAACTTAATATCCCTGAATTTAAATCTCCATTTTTTCCTGGACTCTAGTGTTCAGGAGCTCTAAAATTATTGAGTATTTTATGAGCTGCAATATGAGCTGCATTTTTTTAAAAAGTAGTCCATAAGCCTTTAAATTTTTGGAGCTCCTGAATATTAAAAACCAGGAAAAACCAATCATTTTGTGACTATCAAACCTTGAGTCCTTTTTAGGATTCTGCACCTCTGATCCTATCATTTCTATATACTCCATACCCCAAGTATGCTATAATATGCTCCATTTAACATTTCAAAATACAAAATTGTATGCTAAAGCAGGAAAACAAAGTTCAGCTACTCATCCCCTGCAAATCACTGTAACTAGAACAAACTTTTTGTTTAGTTGAAAAAAAACTAATTTTTGAAAATTCTATGTGCAACTCACTTTACAATTGATTGTAAAATAATTTTAACAAAACGTACGAAAAAATATATTTTTTAAATTTAACTTATTCAAAACAAAAATTGTTATTAAATTTTTTTTAATATAAAACTTACATTTATAATTTCTTCTTTTTTTGTATACTCATCAAATGGTTTTCTAGAGAAAAAGTCTTGTCTCATTTTACCATGAAGCTCTTCTAGGTTTGCAATTATACTCTTTATATCTAATACAAATTCTTGATATGGTTTTATTGCTTTGGTATTGGTCGCACACTCAAATATCCAATGAACATCTGTTTGTCTATGTTTTTTTGTTAAAACATCAGGTACTAAAATTTAAATTTTTTACAATTATATTATAAAAAAAAAACTATGGTATAATTGCAAAAGTTTTAATGTAAATGCCTAATGAACCATTAGGCAAGTTCTACAAAGTTTCACATTTACACATTACAGATTACAAGCAAGTTTTGCTATAATTTCACATTTACACAAACTTGTACATATGTCAGTGTCATTTTGTAAACAATTGCATACAATGCATTGTATACAACTATAAACAAATTTGTATACAATGTAAATTATTTATAAAACTTGTATACAACTTGTATAAATTACATTGAATAGAAATATATAATAAATTAAATAAAATAACAATTTTTTCTATCTAGCACTTATTTAAAATTTTAAAATTGCATAAAAAATTTAGAAAGAATAATAATAGACAATGAAAAAAAAACACTATACAGAAAATTGTAAAACTGGAAAAAAAAAAAAAAAAAACATTTTGCCCAAAAAAAAATTAGTAGTAAATGTAATTTACAAATATTTTTTGTTTTTTTAATTTTTAGAAATTGTTTACATTAACCAAGGAAAAAAACATTATGCTAACAACAAAGAATCTTTTAAGCATAAAATATGAAAAATCTGGGTAAAATTAGGGAAAATGACTCTACATCAAACTTGCGTGACTTAAGTCAGTTATATATATATATATATATATATATATATATATATATATATATATATATATATATATATATATATATATATATATATATATATATCTATATGTATATATAACTGACTTAAGTCACGCAAGTTTGATGTAGAGTCATTTTCCCTAATTTTACCCAGATTTTTCAAAACTCAAATTAATTTCCCTAACTATTGCTAATTTTTTTGCAGACATCTGGATTGCCTGACTTTTTACTGTTTTTATTTAGTTTAAAGGAAATTAATTTAATTTCCCTGATCTGGCAGACACCCTACTTAATTTCATAATCATATTGTTAATAAAACAGATGAAATCATATTGAAACAGCCATAAACAAGGACTATACTACAGACGGCATATAGATTTGTAACATGTGCTCTAGTTTTTAATCTGTATTTAAAAAAATTAAAGTTGTAATTCAAAACTGTCAAAGATGCTGATGTCAATCTGCTATAACCTTGAAATATATATTAAAAATATATATATACCTTAATATTTATATACATTTATAAAATTTATTAATTATTCAAATAAAGAAAGAAGAGACACCTGATTCTTTGTACAGAGCTACAAAATTGACAGGTGCTTCTTTTAACACAGCACCTTTGTCTTTGCTTAGCCAAGAATTAATGACAAAGCAGAATAAACGACCAGAAAGTTCATCTAAAATGTATATACTTTGCAAGTACCAAGCAGGCGAAACACCTTCATTGTCATGCCAAACTCGTAACTTAGACAACTTGCCAAGCCATGGTTGATTGCGAAAAGTAAACAAATCAACTTGATTTATTTGAAACTTTTTACGCTTTGTTTCTGATTTTTGAAGTTGAAGCTGATCACTGTTTCCATATTCTCCAAACAGTTTAATTGATACATTAGCCCTAGTATCAGCATCTGGAAAGTTACCTGTTTCAACACTTATTTTGTACGTAGTCACTAAAAAAAAACATTTTTGTTAAACAATAAAAAGTATATAAAATCTAATTTGCACTGATATATATATGGCAGTGGTTTAGTGGTAGAGTGCTCACTTTATAAGTAAGAAGTTCAGAGATTGATCCCCATTATCTCCCTGGTAATACTGCACATAATACTGGTAATACGGTTCATGCTTTGGAATTACAGAGTTGAGAGAAGGTTGTAACCACAATTAAAAGTAGCCTCATCAACTTTAGTGTCCTTCTTAGCCACAGGGAGGAGAATTAACATTATATAACTTAAAAAATGTATATGATGAGGGGGGAGTGAGGGGTAAAATATTTTAAATATATATATATATATATATATATATATATATATATATATATATATATATATATATATATATATATATATATATATATATACATATATATATATATATATATGTATATATTATTTTTATTAACTTCTATAAGTTCCAATAAGCCTAAATTTAATGTTTTGAAATTATTATGCAAAAATAATTTTTAAGACTTTATTATCAGCTAAATTTACAATCAGCTACTAAAGAAGAAAAAAGCTAAAATGAAGAAGATTTCAATAACTCAGAATTGTAATTATCACGTAATATAATCTCAGGTTTAAGAGAAACAAGCAACTACCAAAAGCTTAAAACTAATTACTTAACAAAAAATTTTATTGAACATGAAAATCAAAAGATTTATCGAATAAATACAAAAATGAACCTGATTATGTTGATTATGATTTTATTGTGTAAAAATTTTACTGTGTGTATAAATATATAGTTTAAAGTATTCTGTAAAGATATATAATAATTATATATAATTGAATGTATAAAGACTTTGTAGAAAGAATAAAAAGAAGTGTTATAACAAACAAAATTATAAATAAAATAAATATAATATTTTTCATAAAAGTTATATAAATATATAAATTATAAAAAAATTTGGTGGAAATTAAAAAAAAACATTAATACTAAAAACTTTAAATGGTTGAAAAAATATTTATACAAATGTTTTAGTTTTTTATTAAACATTGTAATTTTATTAAACATTGTAATATTTTTTTAATTAAACATTGTAAAAATACCTTTTTCTTCAGGTCGCTGATATTGCTCAAAATGACGTGACAACATTTTGAACTTTTTGTTAAGCCCAGCAATGTCTGATTTTGGTATTAAGTTGTCAGAGCACACAGTAGATAGCTGTTCTACACGAATGTTTACAGCATCTAATTCAGCTGCCCTTTGCTCAAAAAGCTCAAGCCCCTAAAATATACATACACGTACATATACATACACGTACATATATTATATAACATATATTTTACACGTATATTATATATTATATACACTATTAGTCGCAAAAGAAGCAAAAAAAGTATAAAAAATTTATGACCTTAAGTTTATCAGATTGTGGATCTCTGAGTAGCTGGTCCGTTTGAACAAGCCATTGTTGTAAAATTTCAACATCTCTATTTATGCAATTTAACTTGTAATCAGACTCTCTTAAGCTCTGTCGCCTCATTTCAAGTTTGACATGAATCTTGCTAAGCTTGCGTGTCAACTTTAAAATTGATTTATTATTTTCAAGTTCACCAACTTTGTTGTTTGCTTCCTCTAATAAGATCTCAAAATCTGGTTGAAGATCAAAAAGTTGACCATCTAACTTCTAAACAAACAATAACAAAATAACTTATGTTAAAAAACAAAAGTTTGTTAAATGACTATTTAAAAATACTGAAATGAAAAATAATTACTTCAACATTTTCTTGAATATGATTAATATTTTCATCATTTTTCATGTTAAAAAGAGATTCTTCTATTGAATCTAGGTCTGCAACCAAGCTTTCAATCGATTTATTTAGGTTTACTAAAATATGTAAAACAAATAAAGCCAATGAGTCAATTTATAATTCAACCATAAATCATAAATTATTTTATCATATTTATTATCATTATTATATATATATATATATATATATATATATATATATATATATATATATATATATATATATATGTATATATATATATATATATATATATATATATATATATATATATATATATATATATATATATATATATATATATATATATATATATATATATATATATATATATTATCAAACAACTAAAAAAGCGCAAATCAAACATGCTAAAAAAAGTGCTCCTTAATTTTCTGAAAAAGATGGTATAAAATTTTTGAATAAAAAATAATTTCAAGGGTCCTAACTGACCCTTAAGTATTTAATGATTCCCTAATAATATCTATAAAATTTTATTCAAAAGTCAACCTGGTATTCAAAAGAAGCCAAATTTTATAAAAGTTTGAAAAATAGGGATAATATTTCATAAAAATTTTATTAAAAAAAAAAAAAAATTATTATTTTTTAATATTCCTTTTTACTTATGTATTATAACTATTTAATTATATTTATCGATTTCTTAATTCATTCTTTTTTGTTTTTGTATTAGTTTTCTTTGTTTATTTTTGTATCATTCTTTTTTAATAAATAAATATATACATATATATATATACACATATATAATATATATATATATATATATATATATATATATATATATATATATATATATATATATATATATATATATATATATATATATATATATATATATATATATATATATATACTTTCTTAGTTTTTTTAAATTTAGATTACTCAATTAACTAGTTTTTAACTATATGAGTGGCAATTAGGGTCTTAGCAACCCCTAAATATTATCCAATTTTAAATTTTTGTACACTCCATTATGATGCTATTTATGACCAAAAAACAACTTGGCATCTGTAACATTGACAAAAAAAAATTTTCTGTGCATTCATAAACTACCTTTATATAATTTAAATAACTAAATAAATTATTTTAGAACCTCTTCTATCAAATGATGGTTGCTTAACAGACACAATCCTACACATATCCATTTTATCAAGTTTATGTTCTGAAATGTTTTCATCCATGCCCCCTCCATCATTTAACAAATCAATATCACCACTTTGGACAGTTCTCATTGGTTCATAGACAACAACCTTTTAAAAACAAAAACAAAAATGTTTTAGAAATAAATGTTTTTCATTTGTTCATACATATGTCATAAAATTTTTATAAGTTCTCAAATAAGTTCTTTCTCTTGGTTTAAACTTATCAATATTTTACAGAAAAAAAAAAAAAAAATTATTCACTGCAAAAAATCACAAAATAAATTTAAAACCTGTTTTGCCTCAATTACTCTATGTTTTGCTGGTGGAGCTTCGTCTAACTTCTCCATTCTATCAACCCTATCAATTTCTTTTAATTTCATCTCAAGCGTACTTTGTATATACTTTATTTTATCTTCAAGTTCATTCCACCTTTTAAATATTTCATTTTCACATGCACTAACTAGTTTTGAATTACAGATTGTAGCAATATCATCTCCTCTCATTTTAAAGGAATCCAACTCTGATTCTTTAGCATCAACAATAGATTTAATTCCCTAAACAAATGACCAACAATTAAATAAAATAAAAATAGGAAATATAAAAAACAACAATATTAACTTAAGAAAGTAATAAATAAAGGTAAATAACAAATATGTAATAATAATATAATAAAAATAATAATATAAATTTTTGTGATATGTAATAATGCAAAAACTTTTATAAAACAATATTTTTTGAAAAACAAAAAAAGATTAAAACCTTAAGTTTCATCAACTCCATTTCAATATCAAATTTGTTTGAAACACCACCTATTGATTGCAATGTACTCCTCCTGCTGTCAATCCAATCATTCAGTTCTTTTGCTACTTCCTTGTATTCATTCACTTGATCACGCTGTTTTATTAAAAGATCATACATGTCTTTTGTTTCTTGTTTGGCACTCATGTAGTTATTGTAAACTTCATGAACTCGAGCTTCTAACAAACGAAATGACTCAGCTTCAGACATTTTACCAAGTTGTACGGTATTATTGTTTAATTGTTGGACATCTTGCGCTTTATCATTGAGCTCCGTAATCATTGCCTTAATTTTAATTATTTCAAAAAACAATTAAAATTCTAACAAGTAAAAACTATATGAAAAACTTTGAATAAAAAACAACAATAGAAAACCTGTATGCTTTGTATTAAGTCATCTGGAAACTCAGGTAAATGTTCTTTAGATAAAACATTTAAATTATCTTGCAAAGATCTCAACCAATCATTGATAGATTCAAAATTTGCATAAATAATTTCAGAAAGAGGTAGTGCATCACCAAATATCTAATATATATATATATATATATATATACATACATATATATATACATATATATATATATATATATATATATATATATATATATTATATATATACATATATATATATATATATATATATATATATATATATATATATATATATATATATATATATATATATATATATATATATATATATATATATATATATATATATATATATATATATATATATATATATATATATATATATATATATATATATATATATATATATATGTATATATAATAATGATCAGTTGAAATGCATGGTTTTAAATTAAAATTTGTCAAAAACTATTTAGCCTTCTTTTTATCAATAAACCATGATTTTCCATTTTTCTTATTATATTTTTTTGCCCTTATGCTTCACAAATTTTTTTTTGTTCTTTTTTGTGGTATATACAAAGAATGAAAAGTTCCAGCATTTGGAGCTTTCCATACTTTTAGATTATTCAATATGAGTTTTGAGACAATCGATTTTCTGAGTAAAATTTCAATTTTTTTTTTTTAATTTTGAAACACAATTCAATATTGTATAAACTTATCTGATGAAAAAAACAACAGGGAAGTATCATTAAAAAAAAAATTCAAAGAATTGTATTCAACAGAAAAAATTCAATTTCAACCAATCATATATATATATATATATATATATATATATATATATATATATATATATATATATATATATATATATATATATATATATATATATATATATATATATATATATATATATATATATATATGTATATATATATATATATATATATATATATATATATATATATATATATATATATATATATATATATATATATATATATATATATGTATATGAATGTATATGTATATATATGTATATATATATGTATATATGTATATATATATAATATATATGTATATATGTATATATATATAATATATATATTTATATATATAAATTTCTAAAATTTAAAAAATATCTTACAATTTCTTGGACTTTCAGTAAATTTTTGACATTTTCATATTCTTTTCTAACTTGATCAACTTGAGGATCTACATTTTTGTTAGCTTTTGTTGAAATATCTGCAGCAATATTCTGCAGAGCTGATATGTTGTCTTCTATGACCGTACACATTGGTGATAATTGCTGTAGAATAAAAAAAATATGAAATTGAATTTTTATATACATATTTAAAGAAGTAAACAATTTCAAAAAGCAAAAAGCTTTCAACCTCAAATAACTAATGTCTAGCACAACCTCAAATTTCTTTTAACTTCTTTTCTCTTTTAATGTAACGTTAACCTTATTTAACTAACATCTAAAACTTTTTAACTTACCTCAAGAGCTTCCACTGCCAATTGTATATCAGGGACTTCGGGTGAAGCTAGTTTGACTTTTTTAATTTTTCGCTTGAGATTATCAATATCTGACAAAGTACTTCCTTCCAATACTATAAATCTTTTTTCCATTTCATTGATGTTTGGTTGTTGCTCCAAAACCTTTATGGATTCCATCAGTTTAGACCAACGCAACTTAATGGCATTAAATTTATTTTCAAGAGCAATATGATTTTGATGACCACCAGCCAGGACTAACTCTTTGATTGTACCCTCAGCAGATGAAACTAAAGCTACATTCAAAGAAACTTGCTCTTGAAGATTCTAAGAAATAAATAAAAAGATTTGTAACTATAGTTACTGGTAAGCTTGATATAACATGAAACATGTAGAATATATATATATTTTTTTATGTTCATAAAAGAAATAGTAGTAATAATAATTTCTAGTTTACTTCTACTAAAAAAGAATTTAAAGAATCAAGAATGTTTCAGTAATTTTTATTTCAGAGACAATAAATAAGTATTAACAAGATTTCTTTACTTATAAATTCTTTTCTTAATTTAAAAAGTTTTTTTTTAATAAAATATTTTTTTGTAATTGAGTATACAGTTATGATTATTTCAACAAATTTTAATTTTTTGTGATAAAGAATACATTTTTTTTTATTTCAATAAAATTTCCTTCAATAAAATATTTTTTTATAACAGTAACTTTATGCAAGTTACAAATCTTTTTCAGAAATTTTTTTTTTGTAACAAAGAATACAGTTTTATTTACTTAATTATATTTTTTAATAAATCTTTAATATACATTTCAGTATTTCAACAAAATTTGGATTTTTGTTTTAATAATTTAAAAGTAAAGACTATTCTAAAACATTTCTAAAATTTTCTAAAACATTTTAACAAATAAAAGTTATAAAACAGTTAAAATTATAAAAAAACTGTCAAAAGTTTAAAGCTGAACAAGTTCGAACAAGAAGCCTTAGTTTTTTTGTTTTTAGGTTAGACACTTTAGTTTGATTTTTCAAAGGAAACCCTAAAAAAAGAAGGCTTTACATACTTCAATAAACTTTTCTTCAAGAAGAACAGCACCACTGATTCTCTCATTGACCAACATCTCTGTATTTTGAAGCCAGTTGTCAATTTGTACAATGTCATCACTTAACTGTCGTCTTTTTAAAAGTTCACCTTCCACTATATAGCGAAACTAAAAAAAATTATTTTCAAAACTTATATAGAATTTTTAATACATTTCTTAAAAAAAAGATTATAAAACCATGAAACTTTATTATTCTGCATACACCACACATTCATTAAAATACATAGAGCACTCAATAAAAATCATATTACTGCAAAATAAATATACTTAAAAAACTTAATTTTACAAATGTCTAATATAAACAATAATAATAATAATAATAATAATAATAATAATAATAATAATAATAATAATAATAATAATAGTAATAACAATAATAGTAATAACAATAATAATATAAAAAATTTTATTTCAAATAATAAAAAGTCAAGGTAAAAAGTGTATTTTGCCTTTTTGGATCTTTCTCTTGTGTCTTCTAAGCGACTTTCATAATCACTGATCATACCAGTTACGAATGATGAGCAAGTTCCATGGTTAATTATGTCTTTGGCTGCAATGTCAATATCTTTAAAACAATCTGATGACAAATAAGAATACTGGTTGTCAAGATCCTGAATGAAAACAAAAGGTAAATTTTTGAGATGAAATAAATAAATTAAAAAACTAATAAATAAAATGAATTAAAAAATTATAAGTTAAGAAAATAACTACTTTGTAAACAAGAATTAAAATTTGAAAACATATTCTAAATATATTTATAAAAAAATATTTTAAATATATTTATAAAAATTTTACAAAAAATTAGTTTGAACTATAATAAACTAGTAACTTATAATTTAAAGAAATAACATTTAACCAGAACAATTTCAACTTTAAAAATATAACTAACCAACAAGCATTTTTCTAATTTTTCATTGTCTTCATTTAATTTCAACTTGGCTGAGTCAATGGCAACATCAGTAATATCCATGCTTTTGTAGACAACTGAAATAAGATTTTCCAGTTTTTCAACTTTTGAAAATGTATCTTTCACATTGTGAAGAAAATCCCTTGAAAAAAAAAAATCCCTTGAAGAAATTTGATCTCATAACACTTTTCACTTTTTTATTGTAATAAAATAACATTATTTTTTTATAAAAATAAAAAATATTTACATCGTAATAAGACTTTTTTTTGTGCAGTTTTTTTCTTTATTTTGTTTGCATACTTAAAATTTATATATATCTTTATATAAATATATATATATATATATATATATATATATATATATATATATATATATATATATATAATATATATATATATATATATATATATATATATATATATATATATATATG